ATACCGTGCAGGGCCGTTGGGAGTTGGTCGACGCCTCATGTGCGCCCCCTTGCCCGCCCAGCGAGCCTTGTATTAAAGTGACTTGTTATCCCTCACTTCCCACGAGCCTGCCCGATCCATTCTTACATCCAGCCATCCCAATCCTCGCGTCTCGAAAGACCTCTGATCTCTCTTGCCAGAAGTCCCCACGGCCACGGCTGTCGCACACAGGAGACCACGACCAGAGCTGATCTTTCTGCTCAACAGACCGCTGTTTCGACCAATGACAACCATAACGCCAAGGATGTGTCCCCGAGGAGGTGCCTGGCGGCTCCTGGCAGGCCTGCTACTAGTGTTGGCGCAGGCACAGAGCGCGCGCGCGACCTTCTGGACAGTGTCGAGCTTCTTCGTCGAGACCTTGACAGTCGAGAAGCTGATCGACTCGTGCACCACGTCGTGCAGGTCCTACACGTACACGACGACCATGAAGGTCGCCGACACGGCGACGCCGTCGGCGTCGCCCTTCTCGACGTCCGCCTACACATACTCGGCATCGGACGTGACGGTAGTGTACGTGTACCTGCCGGCGGGCTCGGTGCCCGAGAGGGACCTCGTCACGACGTCGGCCGACACGCCGACGCCGTCCAACGTCTACATGGACTACGCCATCGAGTTAACCATGACGGCGCCGGCGTCGTGCCCGACGGCCTTCACTGTCGTCACCAACATCGAGGTGTACATCCCGTACATGGTCACCAAGGACATCAAGCCCACGTCGACCGCCACGTCCGTCTACACGTCGTATAACGGCGGCCTGTACACGTATCTCACCGAGTTCGTCGCACCCAGTGCCGTGCCCCAGTCCGTGGGCAACCCGACCTCGAACCACTACTACTCGTACTATGTCAAGAGCTGCCGCAACCCCACTGCGACTGGCGCTGCGTACTATGGGCCTGGCTACTCGGACGGAAGCGGAAGCAGCAGCAACAGTGGTGACGACGGCGACAGCGGCCTCAGAAGCGGCGGCGACGATGACGACGAGGACTGGACGGTCTGCTCGGTGTTGACGGGGTGCACGGGCCTGAAGACGTGGATCATCGTCGTCGCCTCAGTGATCCCGGGCATCTTCGTACTGGGCTTCCTCGAGTCGTGGCTGTGGTTTCGGCAGCTGATGCTCGGAAAGACGGCGCTTCGCTTCGGTACCATCTGCTGGTGCTTCCTCTCGCTGTGGGTCATCTGCTTCACGCGGCGCTCGCCGGCGCGGCCTGTCGAGGACCAGGCGTTGCTCAAGCAGCAGTGGGCCACCATCTCGGGCGGGAAGCGCATCAAGCTCTGGTTCAAATGGGGCTTTCGACACCGGTATCCCGTCGACCTGCTCGGCCCTGATCCCAGCGGCGGGGTAACTGCAGCGAACACGTTCCCATCAGGCCAGCCGCAGTACGGAGGGCAGCCACCGTATCCCGGCCAGCCACCCTACGGCGTCTATGCCGGCCCGGAGAAGGGCGCGGCAGGTGATCAGGCCTCGACAGCTGCATCAGATGCCGCTCAAGCTCCGCCCGGTGCTCAGCAACCGCAGTACATATACCAGCAGCCGTACCCGGGCCAGCAGATATATCCGGGGCCGGGATACCCACCGCAGAGCTACGCTCCTCAAGGCTATCCGCCGCAGGGATACCCGCCTCCGCAAGGATTCCAGCAGCAGTTCGCCTCAGCACCGCCAGCAGCACCGCCAACCAGCCCGGCCCCGCAGAATCCCGGGCTCGGACAAGCCTCGACATTCGCGCCGTCCCCGACAAACTCGCCGTCGCCTGCACAACCTACTCCCACACACCAGCCTCCAACGATAGGCCCGCCTGGGCCCCACCCCGGTAGTAATCAGACGTAATGAAGGGGCTGCGGGGTCGAAAAGCTTTGTTGGATGGATAATAACACTCACATCGTACTTGTTTTTGTTCTTGCTTTCGCCATATTCCCACTATGCGTAATGTTTTGATAGTTAATATGATTTTCTCTGATGATCGCTTTCGAGTTTGCGTTTCGCAGTAATGTGTCTCTAGGTGTGCATGGTTCCTCTCAGACGTCAGATGGTGAGTATGTAATCAGGTATGTAGTGTCGCTGTCGACTATACCAGCCGGGCAACGTCTTCATCGGCAGTCCGAAACGAGCGTCCAAAATACCGCAGTGTCAGAAAGACCACACTATTTTCGGCATGGTCTAGGGATCCCGGGCAGGGCCTGCACAGGGCACCTAATTAGACGGCCTTTTCCACAGGGTCAACACAGGTCCCCGACCTGCGGGCACAGGCCTTTTCTTCTTCCTTACATCAATCAATACACACACTGCGAATACCCTCATTCTTGACTGCTTTTGCATACATTTGGTTTCTGAGACGCAGGATTTTGAACACACTCCGAATCGTGCTGGTGTGGGATGGTAGCCTTTCATATTGCAGCTGCTATCAAGCTGGAGAGGGCTTGTCGGAACAAACGCAGGCGGAGCGGGGCGCGTGGAACAGATGGCCGCGCCGTTTCCTCACAAACATGGCGTATAGGCCCCCCGAGACGTAGACTGCGACTATGCTGACCAGAACGGGAAACATGAATTGGTCTGGACGCGAAAGGATGGCTGTAATTGCGTAGGACAGGAGCTCAAACAAATTTTGGAACGACGATTCGAACGCCGAGAATGTGCCCCGATGGTCGGCTTCGACTTCCTACATCTTGTGTCAGCATCAAGAAAGGCCGATTCAGGTTAATTAGTGGGGAGATACGAATCAACGCACGTCCTGGACAATGTTCTGCGCGCAGAGATCAAACCCCCAAAGGCCGATCCTGCTCAGAACGACACCCACGACGAGCCCAGTCGCGGCTGTCATGTTGCTACTACCAGCATCGTCGGGGCTGCCGAGACCGCTTCTCAGAAACCAGCTAGCAGCCACGGCGAGCCAGACCATCTGCCAACACAGGCTCCAGATGCCGCCGCGGACCACGCCGATGCGTTTGACGACCTGGGGTCCGATCCACGTCGCGCTGAGCTCGAAGACGGTGCTGGCCGTCCGCACCAGGCCCACGTGGAGGGGGCTGTAACCAACCGATATGAGGTACGTGACCATCTGCCCCGAGAAGGAGAGCACGGTGAGGTAGAGCAGGGCCAGCGAGAAGGAGGGAAGGAACGCGGGGTGACTGAAGTAGACGGCGAGAGATGAGAAGAACATCCCTCCAGACTTTCCGACTTGGGCTGTGTGTTCAGAAGACACGAGACTAGAAGCTTGCTCATCCGCCTCGTCGAGCACAAGCAGCCGGCCATCCTCCTGCAGCTCTAGCTCCCCTCGCTGTTCCCGGGGGTGCTCGCGACTCAGCCGGGGCACCATACGGTAGACCTGGGCAATGAAGACGTATTCCACGGCTATCGATGCCAGATTCATGCCAAACGTCGCCCAGATAGCGACAGGCACCGAAAATGCAGCTATCGTGGAGATGGCGAGCGGCCCGAGGAGCTTGCACAGCAGGTCAATCCTGCGCATTCGGGCGTTGAGATCTGCGTGTGTATCAGGAACCGCGCTTGTGGCGAGAAAAGACGCACCAGTGGGAGTGTCAAGAACAAACGAACCTGTACGGGCAGCAGCATTGCCCTCAGTGATCACAACGACCTGCGGGTGGTAGAAAACCAGAAGCAAGAATCAGCCATGTCCCACTGTTCGCGGGATCATTTACGAGCAACCAAGACGTACCCAGTCCCTCTCTACCGCGACGAGATTCACCGTCGAACACAGCTTCTCGACGCAGGCGAGCACGACAGCTACAGTTAATAAAGCCGTTTCAAGAGACACAGCAGTCGGCCCGGCGGCTCCTAAGGCGCTCCTGCGCTGGAACAGTGCCACAAACACAGCGCAGCTCAGGGCGACGGCGAGCCGCTGGCCGACGATGGAGGCCCGGACGACCTTGAGGCGGTGACCGCGGTCAATGCACGCGCCTACGGGCTGGGCGAGGACGATGGCGGCGGCGCTGCGCGCGAGCGCATAGACGGACATGGGCAGCAGCGTGTGCGGGAAGATGGAGGCCAGAAACAGCACGGCGCCGAACTCGAACAGGCGCGAGTTCCACGTCGACAGGAAGTGCGACGTGTAGAGCCGAATTGTGAGGGACGACGGCAGCTGCTGGTTGCGTTGGTGCCCACCATCGCTATCTTCGTCGCCGTCGTCGTCGCCGTCGGGGCTAGAGTTGGAGCTGGAGCTGGAGCCGGAGACGGAAGTCGTCATTGGCGAAGAGGCGGTGGGTCCCTGCGTGCGCACGGAGTCATGCCTAGAGATTGTTGCCCGTTGGATGGGTCTTGGCTCGCCCATGGCATTTGTGTGGGACAAAATCTGGAAAGCCAAAGTTTTGGCGAGATCGCATTTTCGTTTGCAAGTCCGGGCCGCAGCTGCCCCAAATGTCGATGGCGGTGAAACTGGTGCAGAAAATCGAGGTGGGGCGAGTCCGACAGCGGCGAGACTAAATTGGGGACGATGATTGGCTCACTGAGGATCAGCTCCAGAAACCGTCGCTTCGTTCCTTCTGCCACGGTCGGTTTGGAGGGGCAAAGCGGGCTCAAAGAAGCTGGCGTTCAATCGTCACTTCCTTGTCTCGATACGGGTGTCAAGCGGCTGCGTTTCTTTCTCCATTCTAGCGGGCAAGGAACATGTGGGAGTCTGCTCGCTCTGGGCACGATTCCACAGAGTGGACCACATGAAAGCTTCTACCAAATCCAAGCGACACTGCAACACCATTAAACTGCACGTTCAAATGAAGATAAAACCAAGAAAAAAAAGGTTATGTCCTGATTAGACCAACAGCCACGGCGATTAAACCCCGATCAATTTTGTCTGCCCCATTTCATGCCTCAAAACGTACTCTCTCCTCCAGCCACGGCAATCAGGCTCCATCTCTACAGGGCCTGCTGACAATGCATTCAGCTGCTGTCCGGCTCAAATACACTTCTCCCGGGTCTCCATTGCATCAAATTCCACGGCGTGTTCCACAACGGCAAGGTAGCCAAGCGGTCTAAGGCGCCAGGTTCAGGACCACCTGAATTCTATGATTCCTCCAAAAAGACAATCTTCCTGGTCTCAGTAATGGGGCGTGGGTTCGAATCCCACCCTTGTCAGATTTTTTGTTTCTTTTATTTTTATTTCTTTCCCGCCGCATTCGTGGATCGGGAGTAACAAGTACGCTCTTTGCTCTATGTGTTGCCAAGAATCTCTGCCAGGTTTATTCGTGGGGATTTCAACAACATCTTCTCGTCACCCAAGTCCCGGACTCAACTGCCGTGCTTGACCGCAGGACGGGCCCGGGTAGCGGGCTTGCGTGCGTGTCGACCACAGGTCCCGGGTAACTCGTCTGCGTATAGATTGACTATTTGCAGGACCCGGATAACTGGCTGCTGATTCGGAGGTTGACTGCAAGACCCGGGTAACTCGGGCTGCTTACAAATTGGAATTAACATGGAGGGGGAATGTAGGACCCGGGTAGCTCGGTTTGTGATATAGGTGGTGAGGGGATTATAAATAAATAATAAATTGTCCGCCGTTCGCTAGGTTTCCACGCTGCCTTCTTCCCTGACGCTTGGATTCCGGTGATGTAAGCCATTGATTACGATAAATCTCTTAGCGTCGTCCGCACGGGCCCCGTAGACATTCGTAAAGTGTAACAGCCTGGACCGGTGGATTATCGGCGTCGGCTCTTCGGTGCTGCCCGACTTGGCAAGCGCTCCGGTTGGCTGTCGGCCAGTGACTCACGCACGGGATCTCGCGACAGATGCGCGCGTTGGCTTATCTTGGCACGGATGGTCTGAAGGGCGCCCAATCATGCGACGCGCCGCGCGCTGCTACCCTGCGTTTGGGATTGCCGCCACTGACATTCGCGCCTCCGCCCCTCCTTCTTTTGAGCACTGCACTGCAAGACAAAGCCAAAGGGAGGGGGGGGGGGGGGGGGGGGGGGGGGCGGATGTCCGAGATGTGCGAGGCCGAGATTCTCGCCGTAGATACTTAAACACGTCCCCCACGGCCAGCCAGACCCGAGTACTATCTCTCATCCTCAGGCTCAGACTCAAGCATCACGAATCCCTTCCACCTGATATTTACCCCTGAATCTCTCCTAAGTCCCATCCAAGATCAACCAGACCAGACCAACCCAACCCAACCAAACCAACCATCAAGATGGGCATCGATCACACAGGCATCATCGTCCCCGCGGACAAGCACGCGGCCGCCGTCGAGTTCTACCTCGCCGCGCTGGCCCCGCTCGGCTACGCCAAGGGGCTCGAGTTCCACGACGGCGCCGTCGTGGGCTTCGCCGACACGAAGCTGGGCGGCATCAACTGGTGGGTCACGAGCCGCGCCGTCAAGCCCGCGGGCGACAACGGCAAGGATATCGTCCCGGGCCACCACGCCTTCAGCGCCTCTGGTAAGTAACTCAGCAGTGCTCCAGACAGCCATGTGAGACTTTACGCCCTAACACCGATGACAGACCGCGCCTCCGTCGACGCCTTCTACCAGGCCGCCGTCGCCGCCGGCGCCAAGGACAACGGCGCCCCCGGCCCGCGTGCACACTACGGCCCCAACTACTACGGCGCCTTCGTCATCGACCCCGCCGGCAACAACATCGAGGCCGTGTGCCGTCTTGCCCCGCCTGCCTAGTTCCTTACGCGGCTGGCTATGACGCGTCCCAGGTTGGCACTGGTTTTCACTGGCGTCCCGGGGTTTGCACGCATTGGGTGCGAACGGGCTCGGAGTTATTTAGACCTGGAGGAAAATCAGGCGGGGATTTGGAATTCTTGTTTCTCCTTCTTCCCTGATAAAACGGTTATGTTTATGACAATCCAATGACCTTTTTTCGCGTCCCCAATTTTCTCTGGGTACTTAATGGTGGTGAATATGAACCAAAACCTGCAAAGCACCTCAACCACAAAAAGTCTTATCTCATCTCACCGCCGACGATCAGACTCCTTACCCCTTCAATTTGTTGCGGGGAGCAAGGTCTATTTATGACCAGAGGAAGACTAGCATCGGCACCTGTAAGCCTTCTTTGTTAATTCTGTAAGAGCGGCTACCTATGTTCCATGATTGAATGCATTCGTGCGTTGTTCTTCACGCTAAGGCCCTGCTTCAACTAATGAGTGACGAAGGCCACTCGTTCTATTTCCGCCCTGTGGTTGGGGTTACACAGTGTTCTGGTAGGTTGAACTGCCCTGAACAGAGTATCCCGTACGACAGGTGAGCTTGTGGCTGACCTGTCCCGAGCTTTCCCTGGTTCGTGCCTGAGATAGGGTGGTCCTGCAGGCAGCTGCTGCACAGCTTGAAAGGCGTCGTTCCTGCCTACCCATTTAAATTGCCTAGGCAGAAACGCGAGGTGGTCGATAAACTTCGGCTAGCTTTGCAAGCAGTTGCCTTCCTCAGTGACCACCTACCAACGCTATAACATCCCAGAGCTAGGAAACCTGAAATTTTACCTTGGCAACCACGAACACTACAACTCATTTTCCGTTCTTCCCCAATCATCAGCTGAACTAATACTTAAACGATGGCACACCGCTCTCTTCAACTTTACGCCTACGAGCAGTTGCAGCTCAACGAGATCCGCTTACTAAAGGTCACCAGCCCCTCGGACTCGCCCGAGCAGTGGGATCTGACGCTCGTTCACACGCCCATCGACCATGCACCGCCGTACGAAACGATCTCATATGTATGGGGCCTGACTCCCCTCAATCGCCCACTGGCGCTCAGTACTGGCGCCGTGCTGCATATCAACGAAAACCTCGAGCGAGTGTTAAATGGCGTGGTGCGTCACTGCTCGACGGGATACCTCTGGGCGGACCGGATCTGCATCAACCAGGCGGACACGGCAGAGCGAAACCACCAAGTGCAGATCATGGGCCAGATCTACCGGTCTTGCCTTCGGGTGTTTGTCTGGTTGGGGTGCGACGACGACCTGCCCGAATGCTCTGCTCTGGACTTTGTCTGCGATATTGCAAACGCTGCGCTTGGAAGGGATCTACCGAAGGACGACCTTCTCAAGCGCTTTCAAACCGTGTTGCTTGGCGATGTGGGCTTGAACAACGGTGAATTAGCCATGCGTAAGAACGATGAGCGGTTGGCCCTTTGGCAACTGTTCAAGTACTTTGGCAGCCCTTGGTTTTCACGGGCCTGGGTCTTCCAAGAAATCGTGTTACCGCAATGTTCCAGCATCCTCATTGGATCCTCGGCCGTCTCTCTCGAAGGCCTCTACTGGATCTGCGAAGCGATTGATCAGATTGACGCTCAGGATATACTACCAGTCGTCGCCGAAGGCACAGTCCTATTTTCCAGCGGCCTGAGAACGGCGCCAATCATGCGACAGACTTGGAGAAGCTTGCATCTCCCAGGCGACAACCAGTCAGTGCCGTACCCCAGCATCACAAAGACATTATCATCTATCGCGCCTAAAATGAACACTTCGGTCCCTCCTGATCGCGTCTACGCATTCCTGGGTCTCAATCTTGACCCAAGAATACAAATCGAGCCAGACTATGAAGCTTCTGAGCTGGAGGTCCACGTCGGTACGGCAAAGTCAATCATCCAAGGATCCGGCCGGCTGGATATCTTCGAGTATCTTTGCCGCTCAGGGGATGGCGACGACGGCCGCCCGTTCACCAGAAGGACGCCCACTTGGGCACCCGACTTCACCTCCCCGGAGCACCTCACTCCGTTTTCGGTATCTAGAACTCTGCCACGGCAATCCGAGGGTCGATTCTATCCCCATATTGGGCAGTGTGATGATTCAGGGACATTGACTGTACACGGGCGGAAGATAGACAGCATCCAAACCCATATCGACCCTCGGGTGCCACCGCACATTCGAGGGACATATTTCGACTTCTCCCACTATGTCACCTCGGCGGTCGATGGCTGGGAATTATCGGAACAAATGGTTCCCAGCCCAACAGCACAAGCTGTATTTGCAGCACTGGTGGGCCAGGGCCATTGTGACGACGACGTGGTCGCCCGCGCATTCAACAACGACAACAAAGAGCGCGTTGCTAAGATGCTACCGTCGGTCGTCCGGCACTACCATGACAGAGTAGAGGCCAAACCCGGAGCCGACGACGAAACACTACCTGAATACTGGGGGGAGATCCAAGAGGCGGTATCAGCCATCTACCGTGTTGCGTACAAAAGGTATCTTTTCGTTACTTGCGCTGGGCAGCTGGCGCTGGGGTGCACGCTAGAACCGGGCGACGAGATTTGGGTGCTTCACGGCTGCTCTAACCCGGTGGCACTGAGGCCGACAGATCAAGGAACATATTGTGTGCAAGAGACTTGCTTCTTGGAAGGCTGGATGGATGCTTGGGGAGCTGACATGGTCGACTGGAAGGAATAGGAAGGCATCGAGTTGAGATAGGTTTAAGCTGTCCTCCCTGAACGCTGGGCGGCAGCATGTGCATATTATGGGCCGGGCCACAGACCCGGGCGGGCGTGTACCCGAGTCCTCCGCCAACCACAAGCCACATGCGCAAACCGAGCATCGGGAATGCACAAGAACCGCTTGACCCCAAAACACGGCCAGGCCGCTAATATCGGCGGCTGCTGTGTACCTAACTACCCATTCCCTTTGCCATGGGCCTGGAAAATTTTCAAGGTGCAATGCGGCTTGCAAGCAGGGCGGACCACAATCCACGGCCGAGCCAGACAGCAGACCGACCTGCCTGACTCGGCAACTAGTCTCTCAGAATGGCGCGTCTGTGCATATGCATGCCCACGCCACGCCCGGTCTTTTGTGTGCCGAGCGGACGGAATCCTGTGTGTGTGCAGCAGCCCGGCGGCTCAGGAACCAGGACCAGAACCCCGACCCCTGTGGACTTAATCCTCCGCCGACGCTGCCAAAAAGGAGTCTGGCTTCTGAAGATCGGCGACTGCAGGGGCTGATGCAGCTGGTTGGTTGGTTGGTTGGTTGGTTGTATTTACGTGCCGGCGGGATATTCCGTAATTAGTTGTTCTGGTCTTTTTTTTGACGTTGGGTTTAGAGTATGACACAAATGGTGGTAAGAAGTTTTCCATGATTAGGTACCTACCCACCTTTTTCCTGTGATTGCGAGATAATAACCACCAACAGCCACAGAGACCGACCCAC